AGGTGACAAGTTGTATATCTCTATAGTTTTCCAAAAATACCAAATTTATGCACCATTTAGTTTATGCCTTATTTTTAGCACTTGTGTAAATATAATTTATAATAATGAAATGTATCCTTTCAAAGTACAATGTTGGGTGAGTTTTAATAAATACAAACATTAGTGTAACCACTTGAGATTTCTAATAATTCCATCATCCCAGAAAGCTCCATTTGGATTCACTCCCTCAAATAGCCCTTATCTAAGACAACCACCTCACCATATTTTCTCCAGGATGGTGTTTTTAACATTTTTTAATGATGAGAATATCTATGGTTCTATAAATTCACTCTAGGTGATACAAAAATTTAATCCCTAATTAATGACCCTATGAATAAATCTTCTGTGAAATTTTTGTAAAAATATTGGTGTGTATTTTTTTTTCTCTTGGGAAAACACATAGAAGTAGAATTGGTAACTCATGTGATACTTGTTTTAATTGTGTAAATTTGTCAAGCCACCAAACTGTTGTTCCATTTATATTCTGAACAGCAATATATGAAAGTTTCAGTGATTCCACATCCTCACCAATGTTTGGTATCCTCAGTCTTCTTAAATTTAGTCAATCTGCTGCTATTTAGTGATATGTGAAAGTGTTTTAATTTGAACTTCCATTAATAGGACTTATGTTGAGTTTCTTTTCTTGACACTAGTAGGCACACATAAAGTTCCTTTAAAACATCTTTTCAAGTATTTTTCATGTATCCTAGGACTTACTATTTTATTATTATTGAATTATTAGAGTTCTTCATATGTCCAATTTAAAAAAGTTTGGCTTGGCTGTGGGCATTTGGTGTAGCAGGTAAGATGCTGCTTGGGATACCTACATTCATATCCAAATGCCTGCTTGCAACTTTTGGCTGCACTTTGGATCCTACTATCCATACAGGAGCTTGGATTGAGTCCAGGGCTATGATTTTTGATTAGGCACTGTGAGGCTGTTACAATCCCTTGGGGAATGAAGCAGCATAGAGAAGATCTTCTGTCACTGTATTTCCCTCTCCATTTCTCTACTTTTAAAAAAGATTTATTTATTTATTTGGAAGGCAGAGTTATAGAGAAGCAGAGGCAGAGGCAGAGACAGAGAAATCTCCCATCTGCTGGTTCATTCCCCAAATGGCCACAAAAGCTGGAGCTGGGCCAATCTTAAGCCCAGAGCCAGGAGATTTTTCTGGCTCTCTCACACAAGTGCAGGGGCCCAAGGCCCTTCCACTGCTTTCCCAGACCATAGCAGAGAGCTGGATTGGAAATGGAGCAGCCAGGACTTTAACTGAGCCCATAGGGAATGCCAGCACTGCAGGGGGTGGCTTTACCCCCTACACCACACTTCTGGCCCCTCTATTTCTCTTTCTATATCTTTCTCTCTGTGTGTATCTCTCTCTGCTTTTCAAATCAAATGAATATAAATACATAATTCAAATTTTGGTGAATTTATTCCCCAAGTAAATGGCTTCCATGTAATGGTCATGTATTACAGTGAGAATACATTTTGGGAAATGCATCATTAGGCAATTTTGTTACTGATGAACATCACAAAACATATCTACACAAGACAAGATCTATGCCATTACTTGTCAATATAATCTTATGGGATGACTTGGGGTTTTACGTGGTATGTCTTTCACTGAAGCTTTGTTATTAAGTACATGACAGGATGTAGTGTTTTCTGAGGAATTAAATATTAAAATTTTAATGTAGTACAATTTTCTGCTGTGATGCATGTGTTTTTTTGATATCTAAGAAATACTGGCCAATGATATAGTCAGTTGGTTTTCATCTATAATTTGTTTTGGAAGTTTTACTGTTTTTGTTTTTGCCAGGAAGTCTATAATTTACTAAATGTGTATTTGTATGTTGCCATTCAGGGATCAAGGTAAACTTCATTCCACAGATATATCTAAGTGTGCAGTACCATTTAGAGAAAAGTTTAACCTTTAACACTTTGATTACATGAGTGAATTAGTTGAATATCATCAAATGAAATGTTCAGGTTGGTTTTTGGACTCTAGTAATCATATATTTGAAAAACAGAGTTACAGAGAGAGAAGGAGACACCCTCCACAAACACAAAGGAGAGAGAGAGAGAAAGAGAGAGAGACATCTTCCACATGCTGATTTGCTCCCCAAATGGCCACAACAGTCAGGGCTGGGCCAGGCTGAAGCCAGGGGTCAGGAGGTTCTTCTGGGTCTCTCATGTGGATGCAGAGGCTCAAGCACTTGGGCCATATTCCACAGCTATCCTAAGTGCATTAGCAGAGAGCTGGATTGGAGGTGGAGCAGCCAGAACATGAACTGGCACCCTTATGGGATGTCAGCATCACAGGCAGCAGCTTTATGCACTATGCCAAACTGTCATACCCCCATTTTAACTCTTGGTATGAGGTAGTTGAAAATCATATGGGATGTAGGTGTCCAAGCAGCAGCTTAACCACTGTGCCACAACACCCACACCTGATGTTAACATTTTTATGTGGGAACCCAAAGAGGCTGTTAGCCTCAGAAGCTTATAAACTATTTTAAGAATGGATGGTAAGTTGTAGAGAAATGACTAGACAAAGGAAAAAGGGACTCTGGATGTCAAGGAGAAAGTTCTTCAGAAAATTCATGAAAAAATAATTAAAAATAGGGCTTTGGGTTTTAAAAATACAATAATCTTTCAGAATAAATAAAAAATATGTTATGAAAAAAAAGAAAATCACAATATTTGATCTTTCTTAAAATTAGCTTTACTATTTTATGTCCTTTTCATTTTAAAGTACGTTTTTCAATTAGAAGGTGATTTTTCATGAGGACACACACACACACACAGAGTTGTTGGAATTGTGATGGCATTTCTTCATATTTTAAAATAATAAATTTGGGGAAATTCATGTCTTGAATTACTGAATTTTCTTAGCTTTATTTGTCTGAACGTCAGGGTGACAGAGGGAAAGATAGAAATGAATCTTCTATCTGTAGTTTTACTCTCCAAATACTGGTAATAGCCAGAGCTATGTGAAGCCAAAAACAAAACAAAGACAAAAACAAAACAAAACTCAAAAACACAATGATCTATCTAGATGTGCCACATGGGTGGCAGGGGTCCAAGCACTCAGTGTATCCTTTCTGTCCCCTAGACACAGTAGTAGAGAGTTATATCAGATGTGGAGGTGGGATTTGATCAGAAGTAGACTAATATGGGACATTAGCACCCCAAATGGCAACTTAACCCACTGCATGACAATGACCACACCGACACTGAGTTTTATAGTCAATGCATGTATTATAACTTTCCACTTCATTTGGATCTTCTTTATATACTATCAGGAATATTTTGTTTTTCATACTATGGGGTATTACATAACATTTGTTATTTGTTACCAAGTATTTTATATTTTTAATGCTTTTGTAAATAATTTTATTTCATTTAATTTGTTCTTAAAACAAATTTCATTGAATCTTGCATGCTCACCTTCCTTGCTGGGGTTTCTTCTAGTACATTCAGTTTATTTGATATTTTCCTAATATTCTCTTATTATCATCCAAAAATCTTTTGAGAAAAAATCATTTAAATTCCAGATATTAATGTGTCCTTATTTTCAAATTATTTTTCTATTGTAATCTGTTTTATATTTCACTTATATTCTGCTGTAATCTCTATATGTATTTGGTTGTGCAAATATGGGGTTGTTTTCCTGTTTTTTTTTTTCAAATTGTCTATTTTTAATTTTAAACTGTGATGAAAATGTATATTATCTATGAATAAACGGCCAGGGCTGTGGCTCAATAGGCTAATCCTCCACCTGCAGCGCTGGCACACCAAGTTCTAGTTCCGGTCGGGGTGCCAGATTCTGTCCTGGTTGCCTGTCTTCCAGGCCAGCCCTCTGCTATGGGCTGGGAGTGCAGTGGAGGATGACCCAAGTCCTTGGGCCCTGCACCCACATGGGAGACCAGGAGAAGCACCTGGCTCCTCGTTTTGGATCAGCGCAATGTGTCGGCCACAGTGCGCCGGCCACGGTGGCCATTGGAGGGTGAACCAATGGCAAAAGGAAGACCTTTCTCTCTGTCTCTCTCACTGTCCACTCTGTCAAAAAACAAATATCTATGAATAAACATAAAAATTGTGTATCTATTTATGGGACACCATGTACTATTTTGAAACATGCATACATTGCATAACATTCAAATCAGGGTAAACAAATCTATCTCCTCAAACATATTATTTCTTTTTTTAAAAAAAATTATTCATTTGAAAGGCATATTTACAGAGAGGTAGAGAGAGAGAGAGAAGTTTTCCATCTGCTGGTTCACTCCCCAAATGGCCATAATGGCTGGAGCTGGGCCAATCCAAAGCCAAAAGCCTGGAGCTTCTTCTGGATCTTCCATGTGGATACAGGGTCCAAGGACTTAGGCCATCTTCTATTGCTTTCCCAAGGAATAGCAGAGAGCTGGATCAGAAGTGGGACAGCTGGGTCTTGAACCAGCACCCATATAGGATGCTGGTACTGCAGGCAGTGGCTTTACCTGCTACACCATAGCATTGTCCCCAAACATATCATTTCTCATGGTGAAAATACCCAAAGTTCTTTCTGTTAATTTTCATTTGTTTTAAAATTTCTTATGGTAAACAAATTTCATTTATTTCATAAATACAGATTTAGGAGCATAGTATCTAAATAAACATTTAATATTTATTTAAAATAAAATAAGCATTATCATTATGCATTGTCACTCTACTGTGCAATGCAACAACAGAACTTTCATCCCCAATGTGTGGTGTAGGATTTTACTATCACTTGTACCATTTACATTTCCCTATCCTCTCTCGCCATAGTCTCTTCAGACTCTGATAACTATCCAAATACCCCGACTTCTGAGATCAGCTTTATTATATTTCACATATGAGTAGAATTTTGTGACTTATTTTTCTCTTCCTACCATGCTACCTAGATCCTCCTAGTAACAGGTGTGTTTCCTAATAGGGCTTCAGACTCTGACAGCTCCCACGTACCTCCCCATGATGGCCCCTGGAGTATGCTGGGAAAACTGGGAAGCACTTGCTGCAACTCTGATGGAAGTCTCATTCAAGAGGTGACAGTGACAATGAGTTCTGTACATTGAGCATGAATCAGCAAGGCTCTGCTAGAGTGCTAGAACATACACACCCACAGGACACTCATGGGCTTATTTTATCCACATGCACAGTGGCACAGCCATTAACTACACAGGGGAATGCAGTCCAGGTGGGGAGAGCAAGAAACAGCTGGAGTACAACAGGAGCTAGAGTTTGCCAACCTACAGAAAACTGACCAGTCTCTTGCTGCCTCTGCAGGGGCCAGAAGAGAACAGGAGGAGAGTAGGATTTGGAGAGATGGGGCTGCTCTTTGTGACAGGGATGTCCGCCACTCTGAGTCAGGGTCCTCACAGTGTGCAGATATCCTAGGTACTCTCAACATCAGCCTCAGTGTTGGGTGCATGAGTGTCAGGAAAAGTAAGAGTGATCCACCCCTTAACCCCTCTCCTGCATCAAGAAAATTTAGGTCCCTGTTTCTCCTATAGATTGTACAGCTCAGGGTCGCAGGCATGCTGTGCTCAGTTATACTCTCCCCTTTCCACCATTCCAGGAGGACTCCCTGGAGCCCAATGTTGACAGCATGAGAGAGATGGGGCAGTATTAGAGCAGAAGGCATCAGATTGGATCAGCAGGGCTGGTGTGAAGACTCTTATGTGGAGGAGGTTTTACCGTTGTATTACTCAGTTCTTATTGAAGGAATGGAAGCAGAGTATATGAACCTTAGGAAGATGTAGTAGGTTTGTGTGGGGACTCACTGCAAAAATTTTGATTCAAAATTAAAAGGGCTTAAAAAGTTGTTACAAAATATAATTGCATTGGGGGAAGGAGAATGGGTTGGAGGTAGAGGCTTGCAGGAACCTGGGACCTTGTATAACAAGTGATAGAAGGCACTGGTATATCTGGTCACATGGAATACCTACCGTAGATCTTATTTTTCACCTGTTTCCGAGACCCCAAGATCCATCCCTGGAGATTTTTGTTATTCTGTGGGCTGAGGAGGCTGACTTTGGCCCTAGTATCTGTGGAGTGTACCATTGTGACAGGGCTGGTTCCATGATGTCACTGTTGCCCAGCACCCCTCTCTCTGTGTTCTACTGCAGTTAGAGGCTTACTGACTTGGAGGTTTTTTTTTTTTTTTTTTTTTAGTTTAAGAAGCTCATTCATCACAGGAGGACACAGGTGACTGCAACCTGCTTTCTTCATTTCCTGCTGAGTTGGGGACAGTCCCTGCAAGGTATGTGGCCCTGATTTCTCCTGGCTAATGAGGAAGGTGATATTTGCTGTACCCTCAGTGGAGTCCACTGTATACTGCATATGAATATAGTTGTTTCTGACCCTGTGGGATGGGTGCAAATTTCCCTTTGATATGGATCTGTGGAGGGACATGAGTCCCTGGGGAGCCATTGTAGTCAACAGTGATCTCAGAGCTGTGGGTGCACCAGACTCAGAGACTTCATGACCTATAATGGGATGGTGATGGCCCTTTATGATGGAAAATGTGGCTGCTGGAGGATACTCACAACCCAATCTGTGTGAGGAGCAGTCTTCCTATGTGTCAAGGAAGTTGGACAAAGACCCTAAGTCTGATGCTCCCTCTGTCCCTATACTTTAAAGAAGTCACCTTTCTGGAAACTAGACTCCAGGTGTCATACACCTGTCTGTGGACCTGAATCTTCCTTTGATGAAATGGACAAGAGCTCTGTGAGTAGTAGTTCCCTTCAGTTATCCAGTATTGCTTTATGTACAGATTTTTGTCCTGTAGCTTTTAGCAGATGTGGGCCCTGAAGGTGTAGTAGGCAAAAGGGTGAACAGACACCATAGCCAAAGATGAGCAGTTACAGACCTGGATACTCCACAAAGGAGGAAGAATCCAACCTTGTTCTATGCCTGTGGTCACAGGGCCCTGGGATCCCTCAGGACAGACAGGCTGCCCTGCTGCCCCAAGACTCTAAGTGCCTCTGGTCATTCACCTGAGTCTTCTTGTTGGTTGAAGCATTACAAAGGAGGGAAGCAGGTGGGGCCTAGGGAGGAGAAGGATGTGAACTGCTGCCTAGTCATAGACAGGTTGGAGGTCCTACAGTGAGTCGTCTGTCTGCATCTCACCCAAGTAGTGAGACCATTTTTAGAAACACCTGCCTTAGATAAGATGGGTCTCCACAGGGTTGGAACCCTGTTTCTGGCTGCCATCACAGTGCTCATCCTGGTGAACATTAGAGTAGAGCTGACTGACCCATTGAGTGACCCAGGGTAACTGGCAGGGATGGAGCTGGATGTGAGGTAGTTGTGGTTTATGCAGTGCTGAGGCCTCTTCTGCATGAGGGGAGGGCCATTCTGAGGTCTCACTCTGTGCCTGATGGAGCTTGCCTTTTTCTGCACCATTATATAGGTTGTGTCCCAGGGTTAAAGGCATCTATTCCTTAATTGTGGCCAATGGTCAGAAAGGAGCCAGTGGGTCCCTGAGTCTCAGGGGGTCAGTCTAAAATCTATTAAGGCCCAAGGGGAGCCACCATCTTTGAAAAAATATGATCCAGAGAATAAGAATTTCAGGGTAGGCCTTGTAAGTGTGCTTAAGACACAAACAAACATGAAACTGTTCTTCCTATCTGAGACTACAGTCAGATTATGCAGGCTTCCAAAGCCTGGTGTTTTCCTGGTGTAGTCGATGGAATCATTACAATATAAGATGAAGGTGTCTTCTAACTTGATGTAGGATTATGAGGTAGCTTTGGTTTTTTTCTTTGATGGATATGCAGGGATGTGCCTGTGTTATGTTCCTACTTATCTCAAAATCTTCAGTAAGTTCTTGATAATTGTAAAACTTGCTCTGAAGTGTTTTGTGGGAAGTTAGAAAGTCAAAGATAACAGTTTAGTTGGCTGGGAGAGCAGTGCAACTTCCTATCTGAGATAGACTGTGGGCTCCTGAAAACTATCCAGGACAGTTTGAAGGACAACTCTATACTCATGAGGGAAACTATGGGCATTAAGGTGGCAATGTATTAGGGTTCTCTGTCCCAACTCAATATTGTAAAGGAGGAAAGACAGGAATCAGAAGGATTCCTGGGAAACTCAGATTTAGCTGAAGTAACCATCAAGAGGGGCTAAATTCCAGAAATTATGGTAGATGATATTGACAAGTAATGGTTCAAAGATCATGAAAAATAAGAAAAGCTATATTTTAGCAGATACGGGGTGCACAATAACCTATGAGTCTTTCTAGTTTAATGACTAGATATGTTGACATGATTTCGGGTATGTAAGTTTTTATCACTTGAACTAATGGTTCCATAAAACATAGGCACTGTTAAGAATTCAATAAAAATGCTAATATACATGTGCTTATTTCCAAACTGAAGTAATTTTTCTCATTTGTTCTCAAGCCTCATAGTGAGCAGCAAGATAAAATTGCCTCAAATACACAAATATCATACAAACTTGAATTTATTTGGTTTAAATTTTTATTTTCTTGAAAGGCACATACAGATACAGAGAAATAGTCCATCCTCTGGTTCATTTCTCCAAATGTCCACAATAACAAGTGCTAAGTCAGATAAGTCATGATAGAGGAATTCAATGAGTGCCTCGCATGAAAGGAGCAAGGAGCCAATCACTTGAGTTATCATTTGCTGCATCCCAGAGTGTACAACAGCACAAACCAGAAGTAGGATGTAAACCCAGGCATTCATGTATCAGATGAAGGAACACCAAACAGTGATTTAACATCTGTGCCAAACATCCACTCAATGGTGAGCAAAGTGACATAAAAATATGAGGCCATCCTATAATAGCAGACTGGGTGTTGTAGATCAGGCAAGATTAGCCAGAGCTGGCCCAGATCAGCAGCACTGTCCACCAGACCTCCAGTACAAAATTCACACCTAAAATACTTTTTAAAAATTTCGTGGCACCAGGTGCTGTCATTTCAAGCAATTAGGATTGCCAGCTTTATCAAATAAAAAGTGCAGAATGTTTGGTCTAATTGGATACATACAGTACATTGAAAAAATTTTTGAATACCATAGTGAGCAAATTCTCAACATTATCATTTTTGTCTGATATACTGAATATACACTGGAGTAACATTAATAACTTTGAGAATTAATTTTTTTTTGACAGGCAGAGTTAGACAGTGAGAGAGAGAGAGGGAGAGGGAGAAGGAGAAAGGTCTTCCTTTACCATTGGTTCACCCTCCAATGGCTGCTGCGGCCAGCGCAATGTGGCTGGTGCAATTTGCTGATTCAAAGCCAAAAGCCAGATGCTTCTCCTGGTCTCCCATGCGGGTGCAGGGCCCAAGGACTTGGGCCATCCTTCACTGCACTCCCGGGCCAGAGCAGAGAGCTGGACTGGAAGAGGGGCAACGGGGATAGAATCCGGCACCCCGACCGGGACTAGAATCTGGGGTGCCGGCACCGCAGGTGGAGGATTAGCCTAGTGAGCCATGGTGCTACTCAATTTTCTTTTTTAAAGATTTATTTATATATTTGAAAGTCAGTATTATACAGAGAGAAAAGGAGAAGCAGAGAGAGAGAGAGAGAGAGAGAGAGAGAGAGAGAGAGAGAGAGATTCAGTGCATTGGTTCACTCCCCAATTGGCTGCAATGGCTGGAGCTGGGGTGAATTGATGCCAGGAGCCTGGAGCTTCCTCCAGGTCTTCCCACACAGGTGCAGTGGCCCAAGGACTTGGGCCATTTTTTGTTTTCCTAGGCCATAGCAGAGAGCTGGATTGGAAGTAGAGCAGCCGGGACTTGAACTAGCACCAATGTGGGATGCTGGCACTGCAGGCAGTGACTTTACCTGCTACACCACAGCACCAACCCTGAGAATTAATTTTTAAATTTAATTTTGTGGAAGCATATGATATCATTTTCATGTCATAATTGACTTTTCCATTCTTTAACATTATGTTGCATATCTTGATCAACATCTTTTTTTCTTAAAAAAAGAGCTTTATTATATATTTTTATTCTGTGCTTCAATACTACATAGCATGATTTCACTTATTCTCATACTGGAAGAATGTTTACCAACATCTATTTACAGAAATTTTATTTATTTATTTGAAAGACAGAGTTACACAGAGAGAGGGGAGAAGAGAGAGAGAGAGAGAAAGAGTGTGTGTGTGTGTGAGAGAGAGAGATATCTTCCATTCACTGGTTCACTCTCCAGTTGGCCACAACAGCTGGTGCTGTGCTGATCCGAAGCCAGGAGCCAGGAACCAGGAGCTTCCTTTGGGTCTCCCACTTGGGTGCAGGGATCCAAGGACTTGGGCCATCTTCTACTGCTTTCCCAGGCCATAGCAGAGAGCTGGATTGGAAGTGGAGCAGCCAGATCTCAAACTGGCACCCATATGGGGTTCTGGCACTGCAGGCCAGGGCATTAACCCACTGTGCCACAGTCCTGGCCCTCAAATTTTATTTTTTTTTAAGTTTTATACTTCATTTCAAAGATAGTTATGACAAACATCTAAATAATTATACATCTCAAATCTAAATTTATTTTGCCAGGGATTCCAAGGTAGCAGAATAGAGAAAGAACAGACTACACTAGGCTAGAAGAAAATAATAAAAAAAAGTGAAGAAAGTGCATTTGCAGGAGTGAGTTGGAGGGAAAATTGCAGTGAAGATTCTGTGGAAGGAGGAGAGACATTGTGGATCTGTATGGAAGGTGCAGATGTGCAGCAATGTGTACAGACATACCACATAACCCCAGAACCAGAAGCCAAGAGCTGGAGAAAGTACCAGCTTTGGAGGGTGACGTGTGATCAGACTGCAGCACCGTATAACACTGGTGATATAGTTGGAATGAGAGCCTAGTAGACTACACTTTGCATCTGGCCCGGAGACCTGAGGAGAACAGGGTGCATTCTCACCCAGGAAAAAAATGGGGCATGATTCTTTCTACCCACCTCTCTCCCTCACACACACAACAGTGCCTGGAAACCAACTGAAAGAGGGTGGGTGCCATTTTGTACATAAGTATGTAGCAGCTATAGCAGCTCTTGTGCACTTGCCCAGAAACTAGCAAGGACAGATGCCATCTTGCCAGCTCCCTGCAATGGGGGCAGATAAGGTGCCATGCTGATATTAGCAACAGTTGAAGAGACTCTTGTATGTGCCCAGTAACTGGTGGGAAGAGTGTGATTTTGAAATGATTAAGGCTGCATCCAGTGTGTATTGTGCACATGTGGGATCCAGGGATTTTACCAGAGGGAAAAATCCATATTTCCCACTGACTTTGAGTCTGCTGGTTTGACAGGGGCTGGGCACCCATGTACAACTAACTGTGAGGTGCCCCCAGCTTCTCAGTGTGTTGCTGGCACTGGGTTCAAACCTTATGATAAAACAAAACAAACTACAAAAAAAAAAAATTACAAGGGTGGGATGCCTAATTTGTTTTCACAATAAACTGTGAGCTCAGCAGCTCACTACTTGCCTGCTATTCTCATGGTAAATTTGTGAGATTCCAAAGACTGGGCAGGCAGGCACTTCTGACCTTGCTAAGGACAACTCTTTGGAGAAAGGAAGCATTTTACACCCCCAATTCCACTGAGACTACACTGATTGCCTATTAACCCATCTGACTTCTCACAGCAGGTCTAATTTAAACATGTGGTAAATGAAACAATAAATTATATCAAGAATCAGCAATAAGATTAAAGGGTTGATCTTTAAAGAACCCTAAGGCCAAAATAACTGCTTTTATTTAGATCTCCTGGGTTTTAATTTGGGAGATCATCCATTCTACCTTGCTGAGGGAACAGGGGCTATTTCTTCTTTTTGCAACAGGACAATAAGGTTAATGAAAAGTGTCCCAGGATTTCCTTGGACCTGGGGAACAGTCATGTGGGTCCTTTCTTGAACGATGAGCACTTCTTTGCCAGGATTGTTACAAAATGTGTGGTCTACCTTTATTTTTCATTAACAAAACTGTTTTTTTTAAATATGATTACTGGCCTTAAATTTAAGTAATTTTGTTGCACTAAAGATCAACTTTAAGGCAAAAGGATCACAGTTAATGTGCTCATGGTGGGGACCATACTTCCCACTCTGTTTCTTAAGCATAGTATTAAGGTCCAGCATGGGAAATTAGTGCACTGTGACTCATGTTGTTAATTTAACCATTAACACTCTTATGTGTGACATCAGTGACGACCCAAGGCTCTTGACATGAGCTGCCTAGGCTCTGAAAGCCTTCTGAATCTAAAGACGCTGTCAATTCAAACAAGGCCATAAGCAAAGTGAAAGTTCTCTCCACCCCACAGAGAAAAGTAGTCCTTCTTTGATGACCATTTCTTTCCACTGGAGTCTCACCCAGGGAGGTTCTCCATGCAGGGACAACTTTTCCCACAAGTGTCCTGGCTTTCCACACCTGAAATGCTCTTGTGAGCCTTTTAGCCAGACCAGAAGACCAGGATGCCTTTAGGGCTAATTCTGAGGTCACAGAGTGTTACTTAGAGCAATTGCCATTCTATGAGTCTGCTGTATGGACTGCTTCACATATTGGAGCATTTACTCCTCTATAATACTATTAATTCTGTTGCTATGATCAGTTTAACAATTAGTCCCATCTATATGACCACTTTAAAACTTAATCCAATCCAATAGGCTCATTTTAAAACTTAATCTAGGGCTGGCACTGCAGCTCACTAGACTAATCCTCTGCTTGTGGCACTGGTACCCCTGGTTCTAGTCCCCGCTGGGGTGCCAGATTCTGTCCCGGTTGCTCCTCTTCCAGTCCAGCTCTCTGCTATGGCCCGGGAAGGCAGTGGAGGATGGCCCAAGTGCTTGGGCCCTACACACACATGGGAGACCAGGAGGAAGCACCTGACTCCTGGCTTCAGATCAGCACAGTGCGCCTGCTAGTGGCCATTTGGGGGGTGAACCAACAGAAGGAAGACCTTTCTTGCTGTCTCTCTCTCTCACTGTCTAACTCTGCCTGTCCAAAAAAAAAAAAAAAAAAAAAAAAAAAACCTTAATCTAATCTGTATAATTATATTAAAACTTAAGATGTCACTTTCACTATCTAGCCTAAGGGGATTTGAGATCCCATGGTGAAGTAAATTTAGTTGTGAAGTTACAATTTAAGCTCTTATTTTGGCTATGCTATTATGTAGAGAATGTTAGCCACTCCTTTCATAAGATCTAAAAATCAAACTGTACATCTTGGAGAATCCCTCAGCACAGAGTCAGTTTCCCATCTTAAAGGGAATAGAGAGAAATGAGGGAACAGCAGTTACAACCATTAAATAACAGCTTATGAAAATATTCACTAGGATGTCCAATGCCTTTTATAAATTTTAATACATATGTTTGGAAATATCTCTTAAATATCTAACACAGTGTAGCTTGCTTAACCAGCAAACTTGAGCACACACATATGAAGCGTTTTTAGTTTCTTTCTACCAATAGATTTAAAACATCTTACAAAGAGCTTTAGGTCACATGAATCAAATGTACCTTTGATTAATTTTAGCAGTTTAAATTTATGAGCAATCTTCCATTTATAGGCTAATTAAGACAGAGCTCTTACTAAATTTTCCTATGTAGGTGTACAGTATATACACACATATAGCACAACATACAAGACAGAAAAATGGAGCAGTTTTGTTAATAGTTTCCTAAAATCTTTAGCTGTTTTTTATTATCATCAACCATTTAGAATTACTTGCTGCTCTTAATAATCTAAATTAGCCAAACTTTTGTGAAGTTGGAACCTGTAGAACATGATTGGCTTTATCTGTTTACAGAACTGTCCCAGAGTATTGAACACAATAGAGGTCATGGAAAAAGAGGTCCTTTTAAACCTAAAATGATACATTTAAACATAGAACCAACAATGTTTTAGTTTCATGAGCAGCAGATATGGTATATAAAACTGTGGATGATAAAAAATTTTAAGTAGCCATGTTTAAAATTACAAACCTATTAACCAACAAGAGGTGCTTGCTTACTCCATACAATATTTTTTTAAAAAGCACTTATAGGATTTTGTAAGAGAAATAACCCTTTTAGGCCTTTGGGCCTTTCTCGTTAAAATAACCATCATATCTAGTAACACAAGATGATTAGACTTTAACCTTTAGGCATTTGTATTGGTAGCATTTTATATTATCAAAACTTAAAATTTAGCACCACTTCATATCTTGATAGTACTTCTAATACAACCCAAATAGCCTGATGATTTGGTGTCTCTACAAGATGAGAGACATGTCCTTTGATATTTCCAGGGGCCTATCTGGAAATACCAAAGTCCAAAATTTTTGGAACTGAATTTTTGAATGCCTGCCAATAATGCCAAGAAGGCTCAAAATCCAAAATATCTGGTCAAAATAGGATCCCTTTACATCATGACATCATATAGATAAAATTTGATCATTGTTACAAGGTGATTATATGCGTTTCAGAATAAACGTATATTTTAAACAAATCATAACCCAAATAAAAATTCAACTGTTTTAAACAATTAGAACCTAGCAGAGATATTAAGATAACATAATAGATTAACTTAACACAAAATCTGCATCTCTTTGGTTGTTCCAAAAGTGGTAAATAAACCTTAAATTTAAGAGCTTGTATATTGAATCAAATCCCATAACTTGGATGTTTTAACAGAGTCAGAACTAGGGAAGAGAGAATAGCTTACTGGAGCTGGCTAGAAAACTGAGCAGAGTCACTGATTAAACAAAGCTATCAAAAGGAGATGCTGCAGGTTTTTAAATAGTTTTTTAGCAATATTTTGGAATATTTACTAACATATGCATTGTAAAGTCTTCATTGCTGTAACAGAGGATCAGATTTTAGTTCTATGTCAAATAGACGAATAGATATACATTTTGAAATAACCCTCTAAGATTCCCCACATTAAGACAACACTTTTTAAAATACAGTAACACATCAAATTTCAAGCCTAGTTATTTCCAAGTGGTGTTGAACTATTTTCATATGGACAATTTATGAAAACATGTTAGCAAGCCCAAGTGGCTTTTCTATATAGACACATTCATCTCATTAGCTTTACCCAATTTTACATTTAGCACTTACACCTAAATGACTTATGATGCTGATAGTATATTATATTATATTATATTATATCTCTATCTGAACTTAATCAAAATCAAAACTGCATTTATCTATAACTAGTACTGATTACTTATTGCTGTTTTCATCATTGATTACCCATTTCTATAGCACTGGAAACCTTTTAAAATATATATTGCAAAATAAGTTTGGCACGTTACAAAGCAATAATTTTGAAGGCAGCGATTCTGCTGGATTCAAAGAGAGAAATTTTCTTGGTATTCAGTTACAAGGCAGGGATAACTTGTGACAGTAACAGTAACTATAGGGTTAAATTGAAAAATTTTTCTCATCTGTGTCTGTATTTGGCAGCAGCAGGTTGGCATAGGAGCCTGAAGAGCCATGGCAGCCCAGGTTGGGGCTGATGGTAGTGCCCGTTCCAGCAGGAACACCAGAGACAAGTTTTGGGGAACATGTCCATTTATTAACAGCCACATACGCTTTTTAAAGAGCAGGGAGAAGGAGCATAACTAACTCAGGGGAACACTGACTATAGGACAGAACTGATACTGATACCAATATGCCTCTCCACTCAGCTTTTCTGGGGGGCCTAAAGGGCCAGGACCACACCTCGGAGCAGTTTACCTGATTGGCAGAAGGTGAGGGTGGGGAGACATGTGCCTGGGCTCAGGCTAACTGCTGGGATGACCCAGAGAGATCTATTTTCAATTGACTTTATACACATATGATTAACTCTATGTTAAGTAAAGAGTTCAACAAATGGTATGAAGAAAAGAAAAAAAAAAACTGTCCCTCAGCAGTCAAGACAAGGGATGTTCAAGTCATTGCTTCTCAAAGTGTCAATTTCACTTCTACATATTTCCTTTTAGGTGTTCTATTATATATCACAGATCAGGGAGAACATATGGTATTTGACCCTTTCAGATTGGCTTATTTCACTAAGATGTTTTCCAGATTGACTCATTTTGTTGCAAATGACTGGATTTCATTTTTTACCACTGTGTAGTATTTCATAGAGTACCCATGAATATATAACCTATATATTATATATAACTTATATATATATAATATTATTATATATTACTATTATATATGTTATATATAATATTATATATGTATAATAGTAATATGTATAATAATTATATAACCTATAATTTCTTTATCCAGTCTTTAGTTGACCAGCATTTAGGTTGATTCAATGTCTTAGCTATTGTGAATTGAGCTGCAATAAACATGGAGGTGCAGATAACTATTTTTTTTTTTTTGCTGATTTCATTTCCCTTTGATAAATTCCCAGGAGTGGGATGGAAGGGTTATATGGTAGGTTTATATTCCCATCAGCAGTGGATTAGGGTATCTTTTTACCCACATCCTCACCAGCATTTGTTCTTTGTTGATTTCTGTATGAAAGCCACCCTAACTGGGGTGGGGTCAAACTGATTGTGGTTTTAATTTGCATTTCCCTGATGCCAGTGATCCTGAACACATTTTCATGTGTCTGTGGCCATTTGGATTTCCTCTTTTGAAAAATGTCTGTTTAAGTTCTTTGCCCATTTCTTTTTTTAAAGATTTCTTTATTTATCAGGTTTGGCACTGTGATGTAGCAGGTAAAGCTGCTGCCTACAGTGCTGGCATCCCAAATGGGCACTGGTTCAAGTCCTAGCTGCTCTACTTCTGATCTAGCTCTCTTCTATAGAGTGGGAAAGCAGTAGAAGATGGTCCAAGTCCTTGGGACCCCTGCACTCACGTGAGAGACCCAGAAGAAGCTCCTGGCTCCTGGCTTCAGTTCAGCACAATCCAGCCATTGCAGCCAATTGGGGAGTGAACCAATGGATGGAAGGCTTCTCTCTCTCCCTGCCTCTCCTTCTTTCTCTATGTAACTCTCTCAAATAAAATAAATAATTCTTTAAAAAATGTATTTACTTGAAAGAGTTACATAGAGAAGGAGAGGCAGAGAAAGAAAGAGAGAGAGAGAGGTCTTCCATCTAGTGGTTCACTACCCAATTGGCATCAACAGCTGGAACTGTGCTGATCTGAAGCCAGCAACCATGGGCTTCCTCCAGGTCTTCTGATGTGGGTGCAGAGGCTCAAGGACTTGGGCCAACTTCTACTGCTTCCCTAGGTTATAGCAGAGAACTGGATTGGAAATCAAGCAGCCAGGACTTGAACTGGAGTCCAAATGGGAGGCTGACACTGCAGGCAGTATCTTTACCCACTACACCACAGTGCTGGCCCCATTTGCCCATTTCTTAACTGGGTTGTTTGGTTGGTTGTTATGGAGCTTCTTGATCTCTTTGTATATTCTGGTTATTAATTCTTTATCAATTGCATTGTTTGCAAATAATTTCTCCCAATCTGTTGATTTTCTCTTCACTTTCCTGAGTGTTTCTTTTGCAGTATAGAAGTTTCTCAATTTGATGTAATCCTATTTGTTAATTTTGGCTTTGATTGCCTGTGCCTCTGGCGTCTATTCCAAGAACTCTTTGCCTGTGCCAATATATTGCAGGTTTCCCCCAACTGTTTTCTAATAATTTGGTGGTATCAGGTCATAGATTTAGGTCTTTAATACATTTTGAATGGAATTTTGTCTAAGGTAGGGCTCCTGCTTCGTACTCTGGCATGTGGAAATCCAGTTTTCACAGCACCATTTGTTGAAGAGGCTGTCATTCTCCAGGGATTGGTTTTAGCTTTTTGGTCAAATATAAGTTGGTTGTAGATGCTTGGATTGATTTCTAGCATTTCTATTCTGTTCCATTGTTCTATCCATCTGTTTTTCTACTAGTACCAGGCTTTTTTGATTATAACTGCCTTGTATTATGTCTTGAAATTTGGTATTGTGATGCCTTTGGCTTTGTTTTTATTGTCTAATATTGCTTTAGCTATTTGAGGTCTCCTGTATTTCCATATTAATTTCAGCTTCATTTTTTTCTAGATCTGAGAAGAATGTCTCTGTTATGTTGATTGATATCACATTGAATGTAAATTGCTTTTAGAAGAATGGATATTTTGATGATACTAATTCTTTCAATTCATGAACATGGAAGATTTTTCCATTTTTATTGTATCTTCTATTTCTTTCTTTAATGTTTTGTAATTCTCATCATAGTGATCTTTGACATTCTTGGTTAAATTTATTCCAAGGTATTTGATTATTTTTGTAACTATTATGAAAGGGATTGATCTTAGAAATTCTTTCTCAGCTATAACATTGTCTGTGTTTACCCAGGATGTTTATTTTTGTTTTGCTGTTGTTTTCTCTTTAAATTTTCCCTGAGACTGCACTCCTTCCACTTTTTTAAAACTATCTTCTACTAGAGTAAAGCAGCAAGCTCCCTCCCTACTCTGCCATCCAGAGTAATCACATTGCTTTTATGATACTCAAATTAACCAGTATTTCTTGTATTTTTTAATTTAATAAGTCAGGCAGAAATGAAAGAATTTCATTGTGATCAAATAAGAGTGCATCAAACAATTAGACAAAAAGCTTACCATTGTGGGCTAGCATCGTGACATAACACAGAACATTGTTACCTGCAACACTGGCATAACACATGGGTGCTGGTTTGTGTCCTGGCTGTTCCACTTCAGATAGATCCCTGCTGATAGACTGAGAAAAGCAAATCTTCTGAATAGTACAGATGAAATCAGAGGAAAAATGACCCCACTACATGAGAGGCCTGAACAATGCTTCCTTTGCAGTTATGTGCTCCAGTAGATGCTATGAGAATGCAGTGTGGCCTTCATGCACTGTGGGTCACACATTTTCTGCAGGCTGAAGAGAGCTAAGCTTATATTTGGTACCTTCTATGTGCAAAGAAGTTCAGACATCTCTTACTTGTCACTTTACCTAATTAGCTTCACCTGGAGCTCTGGGCTCTCCTGTCTTAGTTGGTTGCCTGGATACCCAACACATTCTGTGTCTACCTCCATCTTTGGGGACATATGAGCACATGGGAGAGTGAACACCTTCTGTGTAGCATGAAAGTAGCCATGGATGCACATGGGCATGTGTGAGCACCTTTGTGTACCAGGCACACATTGATGCATGTAATTTCTATGTGTAAACACATTTTTACCAGGCACATGTCTGTGTATTCACATGTACGCAGGAGTACCTTCTGTGTACCAGGCACACATCCATGAATGCACATGTGCTTGTGTGAACACCTTTGTGTACCAGGCACACATCTGTGCATGTACATGTCTGTGTGCCAATACATTTGTGTACCATTCACATGTCTGCATGCACACACATGTATGTGTGTGTGTATGTTAGCACCTTTGGGTACTAGGCACATATCCATGCATGCACATGTGCTTTTGTGAACACTTCCATGTACCAGGCACACATCTATGCATATAGGTTTGCCTATATGACCCCCTATGTGTGCCAAGTGTCTTTACATGCAGCAGCCTCCCACCCTCCCTCTGAGGGTGATACTACTATTTTTTCCATTTTTTAGATGATCAAAAAGAAGAGGGTAAGCCATCTTGACTAAGATCCCTCAGCTGCAGTGAGGAACCCAACACTTCATTGTCCAAGCACTTAAGCCCAAGTACTTGAGCCCCAGTGTAGACCACTCCACTCACATAGTAAGTGACATATCAAATAGTCCTTGCCCCCAACTCATCTGTATCCCCAACACTGATCCCTAAACTCTCAGGAAAGGAGTCCCTCTTGTTGACTATGTCACTCCCATCAGTGACAAATATTTGTCAAAATGAGAAATAAATTGACAAATTTTCTCATCAGCCATTTTGTTCAGTTCAACAAAGTTTGGTTACTGCCTCACTTCACTCAGGAAACCTCTGGTCCAACAATCTCTCTGTCCAAATGAGAGCTTCACCGACGTGCTGATTCCCCAAGCTGCCTGCAGCATCAGACCTCACCCTCCTGCCTATTCAGGCTCTTTTCGCTCTTGACTTTTACTGTTGCCAGACTCTTCTCACCACATAAGGTCAAGAGGCTGTCTCCTAACACAAGACCATAAGGCACAGATTCTTAACTTTCTCCCACTGTCCATGGGCCACACTTCTTAAAACCTGAACTTCTTTCATGATACCCCTCTCTTCTCATTATAAACAAGAATCTTAAGTCCAAATTCTTGGCCCTGAATCCTAGCCACCTTCACTCAGTCCCACTCACTTTCCTTCCAAACATCCTTCCCTCAGCTTAGCTGTCACTGCCCCAGCTCCACACTTGGCTGTGCCCTGGACAATGCTACTGCCTCTCTGACTTCTGCTAGTCAGGCTTCCACTCCCTTAAACCATTCCCTACAAGGGATTTCTCAGGTATCTCAGATCTTGTACTCACACTTTTGCACATGAATTTACTTCTTAGAAAGTATTATTTAATAAATTCAGTTGCTTTCTAAAGTAATTGAGATCATTCTGAGTTTTATTATCTTTGTGTAAACTTGCATATAATTGTTATTGCCATTTTGTGGCATTTAATGTAGTTTTAAGATAATAACTTCACAATGCATATTTGCAATTCAAAATTTAGGAGGAAGGCATTGTCATATTCACTTTTTACATAAGACACATGAGCTCATGGGGTCTGCGCTATGGTGCAATAGGTTAATCCTCTGCCTGCAGTGCTGGTGTCCCATATGGGCACTGGTTCTAGTCCTGGCTGCTCTTCTTCCAATACAGCTCTCTGCTGTGGCCTGGGAAATCAGTAGAAGATGGTCCAAGTCCTTGAGCCCCTGCACCTATGTGGGAGACTGGGAAGAAGCACCTGGCTCCTGGCTTGGATTGGCACAGTTCTGGCCATTGCGGCCATTTGGGGAGTGAAACCAATGGAAGGAAGACCTTTCTCTCTGTTTCTTCATCTCACTGTCTATAACTCTACCTCTGAAAGTAAATAAATAAATCTTTAAAACTAGACACATGAGCTCTCAAAGAGGTTAAGTTACTATCCAAGATCACACAGCTAGTAGATTGTAGACCCAGGAATTGAACATCAAAGGCAGTGTTAAGATGGAAGTTTATAGCAACCAGTGGCTACACCAAGAAACTTGAAAGA